TAAATAGCAACACTTACTTTGTGCTTCACTTCATCTATTTAATTAGAATATTAGTAAATGATAATTTGGGAGAGAACAATTGAAATGCATTGTCAATTTAAGCAAACGTTTAAAACATTAACGAGAATATATTCAAAATGGAATTAAAATAACATTTTTTGCATAATTAGAAATAACAAAGTGGTTTGTTTCGCACACGAACAATTTTTGTTTACTCATACATCTCAAGATAACATTGTTTATATGCAGCGACATAAATGAATGTATGTGCATTAACATACCTTTGCATTTGCAAGATTAATATGTTAAGTAAAAAAGCTGAAGCAACACCCACCCAAGATATCAATGTGGATATGAAATTTACTTCTAACCATGTTGCATGCAACACTATCGTTGATTATATCGCTCCAACGTATTGTAAATAGGTGTGAACTTTTAGCAGCTCTCACCCGGCGAACAATCCTGTTAAGTGTGTTTTTATTTCGCTTTAAGTCACGCTTCTCATTGATCGGCGGAAGATTCTTAAACGATTAAGCTAGAAAACAGATTCATTCGTTTGCGCGTTCGTCTATCCGTCCGATCGACGACTTGCGATTGTTTTGCCTCGCTTTCTATGCATTTATGTCTCCGCTTGCAGATGGATGCAACCTGCTTGTCTGTCGTGCTTGCCTTACTATCTGCCTTTTATATAGTACAGGCGAAGAAATATATTTAATTCCCATACCAACGATGAATAAAGTGCACAAGTCTTAAAAGGCCGTTTTCGACAATTTTTTGGGCGGAAAATTATTTGCATAATAGGCGGGAACGTTATTGAGCGTATTTTTATATATCAAAGCATAAGTAAATAAAATTTGAATGTAACTAAATAATGGCAAAGCTGCGGCCATTCTCATGAGCCACCTATAATTTGAGCCGACGTTTTGAAAACAATGATTTTTGTGTGATAGCTGAGGGTTCGAATGAAAACATGCAATTCTCGAGCAAACAAATGTCAATCGTTTGTTAATAAACGATGCTTATCTTACGCTTATATCTTATCGACTTGGAATGTTAGTAAAATCGGTTAAAAAAAATTCGAGTAAAATAAAGAATAGAAGAATAGAATAGAAAATTATTTTTAATTTTGAAACGTTTTGTAGACAAGTTTTTTAATTACAATAAATTGTTTTTATTGTTTTTTTACTACAACAGGTCTATAATCCATCCAGGGTCATAAAACTATCATTTCACGTTCAAACATTGCTCCCCGCTGCCCTATCCTAAAAGATTTCTTATTAGAACCTGCCGTTCTTTCTGCATAAGTTAAAAAGAGGAACGCATTTTTTTACTCTCTATGTGCTACACGATGTGGGGAAGGAAAGGGCAAGAAAATGTCTAATTCTATAGTTGAATTCATAATTAGTATACACACACACACGCACATACACACACATATACTAAACCTTCTACTGGACTACTGGACTTAGAGCTGGCGGAAAAGAAAACAGAAGCGGTATTAATCTCTTCTACGAAGAAAATTGAGAAAGTGACTATCCAAGTCGGCGATACGAGAGTACAGTGTCAAGAAGCAATAAAATACCAAGGAGTGATGATAGACTGCAGACTCTCGTTTAAACGCCATTGCGCAATACATGGGCGAAAAGGCAGCGAAGGTAGCAAAGTCGTTGACGCGCTTACTGCCAAACTTGCGTGGCCCTAGGCAAGACAGTAGGAAGCTGATCGCAGATGTGGTAACGGCGACAATAATGTACGGCTCTTCTGTGTGGAACAAGGCTTTCGCTATCCCGTCATACACGAGAGACATACAAGCAGCATACAGGCTATGCGCTCTAAGGGTGTGCACCGGATATCGGACGGTGTCAGAGGACGCGGCCCTGGTTATCGCTGGTATGATGCCAATCGATCTGCGTGGTAAAGAAGGTCTGCATAGAGCCGAATTTCACAGACTGCCAGCTGAAGCGGCTAAGCAGCGAGTAAAACAGCGTTTGTTGGAAGAGTGGCAGGAGCGCTGGAGCAGAGCGGGTAAGGGTAAGTGGACGCATCGACTCATACCAGACTTACGGCCCTGGGTGAATAGGCAACATGGTGAGGTCGACTTTTATATGACCCAGGTATTTAGCGGCCATGGTTGCATTCGGTCCTATCCCGGTCCTGAATAGATTTGAAATAGAGCAGGACCCATTATGTAGCGTTTGTAAGCGCATCGAAGACGCTGAACATGTTTTCTTTGTCTGTCCGAAATACTATAACGAACGACAGAGACTACAGACGGAAATTGGAGTGTTACCTCTCCCCGACAATCTTGTGACAAATATGTTGCTTGACCTCAAAATATGGAAGGCGGTAGAAATGTTCGCCGCAAACATTATGCGTAAACAAAGACACGAAGAGCGTCATCGTAGGCTTTTAAGTAGTGCCTAAACGGCTACCCTCCCTGTGAAGGTATACCTAAACGGTCGTGCCACAGGGTAGGGAATAGGATAGGCGGTTTTTAGCGGGTTAAAGTCTCGCACTGCCCTAATGGGCGCCTTTTGATGGTCTTCCACCTCACAAAAAAAAAAAAAAAAAACACACACACACACACACACATATACATCTAATTTGTTAGCAGAAACACTTGCTGTTTTCGAATAGCCAGCAGTTTCTTGTCCATTCAACGATTATCGCGATGAAGCTACAGTAACGTGTTTTTGCTTGAAACTGCAAGTATGCTTGCTATCCATTGGTAGTCTTGCTATGTAAACGATTCTTGTTATTTGAAAAAGTGAAATGAATTTTTTTTTGTTACTTTTTCACAAAAATTCTGATTCTCGATCTACGCCTACAGCCTAAAGCTACTTTTGCCGCTTTTTCTTTTGCACCAAGCGTGTATTCCTTTAAAGTAAAGTAAAGACGGCGCTGAATTTACTTTCTATCAAGTTTTTATATTAAAACCATCAAGCATAGCTAAAAGCTCTCTTGTGTGTTATGCGACCTAAGCCTAAGCCGATTAAATTTTCGTTAAGTCGTTCCTTAATTAAGTTCCTAATTTTAATCAGGTATTCAAATCATACACGTTGCATATAGGGAGACTTACATTTTCAACGAGGAGACTTGCATTTTCTTAACCGGTTGACACGCCTCAAAATGTTTATTTACTATAGAAAAGAACTATTGTTTCATTCTTGCGATCGGAACAGTGGGACATGGACTACCATAGCATCGCCATTTGTTTGCGTATGCGCTTCAGACTGCTTTGCTAAAATTACCCATCAGCACTATGGCTTGTTGTTGTTCAAATAATATGCAAAGTGCGCTTTCACGGAAGAACGTATTAAATAGATAATCTATAGCGATTCATTTTCAAATATGGTTGGTTGAAGGACATAGTGCAAGTCTGCATTTTGAAATATTTCTGTGACGGCAGACACTTTGTTGTCCACACATGACAATTCTATTACTTTACTTGAGATGAGCGATTACAGATCAGATTAATCGAAAAATTGCCTGCAAGAAACGTTAAATAATAGAGGCAAAGTTTATGCAATCTATACGCCATTCTTCGGAGTCGCACGACGATGTAGGAGGCACATTAACTTACTCTTGTTATTGAACCTCAAAAGACGAAGTTACTCGCATAAAAGAGTAAGTAGTAAAATCTGTATTTTATTTATTTATTTATTTTTTTTTTTTGCAAGAGAGGGATAATGAGCGACGAAAATATTGAGTTTAGGTTTGGCTTCGAAAGTCATAGAAATGTTGTTAATAATGTACTTTTTTTACTTCCATTCTTTCACTTCACTATCAGTTTTATAGCCATTACTACCTGTTTGTCTTTTATGAATAGCACTTGTTTGCAGCTCTTTGCCTTCCTTTTCAGGGGACTTCAGATGAATTTTATTATCTATCAACAGTTCAATATCAATTGTTATAATAATCCCAAAATATTTCCAAAGCTCCAAGAAATAAGTTTACATTTATATTAAAAGTGTGTTCTTCAGGAACATTGCTCTAAATAACGTAATATTAGGGGGAACGCCACAACAATAGATGATTATTTACTTGTATTGGCAGTTCCTTATTTTCATATTCTTTTTTGCGATGCTCTAACCTAATCCCTATCTATCACAGAGAGATATCAACCTACACGATCTAGAGAGATTGAGGTTTTAAGATGTCTTCGGATGGTCAGCTTTTTTAACAATGACTTACTGTAGTTGGCTTGCGGACTGAGATTTAGATCAATACTTTACTAATCGGTTCTTTAGTATCGATTCTCATAAGAAGATGTTTCATTTATAAGGTCTCATTAAGAGATTAAGAAATGTTTGTTGCCTCACGAGATAACACTTCCTATCATTTCGTGTTACTGTTCTTACTGCGAAACAATTTCATTAAACTATTTAAAAAATCTTTTGAAGCCATATAATATTGGATAAGTTGCTTTCAACAAAAACAAAAACAAAAATAAAAACACAAGTCGGTTGAAATTAGAGGTAAGCATACCAACACCTTAATTTCTTTTTGCTCTCGAATAATTTCAACAAAATCTTTAGACTGAAAATAGTTAATGTTTTGCAATGCTGCTGCTGGTGTTGCTGTTGCTGTTGCTGTTGCTGCTCCTGCGGCTGCTATCATCGCTTGCTAAAGCATAATGAAGCCTCAAGGTGAAAATTTTACCGGAAATCTGTTTTATTGTATGAAAACTTTTTTGTGAAATATTTAATAACAGCAAAGAAAATGGCAACAGCATAAACAACAAAACCAATAAAAGGTAATGTCTGTTAAATGTCTAAAATACAGATGTGAAAAGTAAACCGGGTATGTGTTTGTGTGTGCTTTTTTATATGTACGTTAAGGTGTTAAATAAAAGAATTTTTTAAACGTAAAAAAAAAAGCATCAAAAATTAAACACACACAAACATATATATGTATATATATATATATATATATGTATATATATATATGTGTATGCATCCAGATATACAGAGAAGAAGAAATTGATTAACGTTACATACCAGTGCGTCCGTTACAATCTGTAACTTTTAAGGAGCGCAGTGCTGCTGCAGATGGAGCTGTTATTGCTACTGAGGAAGGTGTAGAGGATAATGATGATATCGGAGGCGCGAGCTTTTTAACATTATTATTGTTATTAATGCTGGTATTGTTGCTATCGCTACTGCTGATATTACTACTGCCATTAGCTAAAGACGTTAGCATAAGATTATGGTTATTATTACTGTTATTAGTCGAACATGTTGTCAAATTGTTGCTGCTTGTGTTGTTCGCTTTATTTAAAATCGCAGAAAGATTTTGATTTGGTGTTTGACTATTATTACCGCTTGAATTTTGATTGTTGGGCAATGGTGCTAAACAATTACTACTGTTTGATACACCAATAATAGCCGGAATATCATCACTTGGATTACTATTAAGTGCGGCTTGAGCGGAATTTAATGTAGTTAACGGGCAGGTAGCTAATGTAGCGTTATTTAAAGGTGGACATGCAGTTGGATGATGGGGTGAAGTTAACATTTGGTGGTACTGTTGTTGTTGTTGTTGTTGCTGTTGTTGTTGTTGTTGTACTTGTGTTGATGAGGGGTATTGAGTTATATTGTTATTGTTGGTGTTATGTGGCATTTGCTGTTGAGCTGGATTATCTAAAAACCGGGCACCGCCAAGATTTTGTTGTTGCATGTACAAAGAAGCACCATGATTTAGATTTGTGGGCATTGGATAAAATTCCAACATTTTCTGAATTATTTAATTTTTCCTTTTTTCTTTTAAAATTTATTGCAAACACATTTTAATTGACTGCCGATGCCTGTGTCTGTACTGAACATTTATTGAATTATTCTGTTTTGTGTGTATATATGGGTACATGAAAATTATTTGAACATTTTAGAAACTGGTAAATAGAAATAAACCTACGTTCGTTTCACTTATATCTTTTATTATTATTATTATTATTATTATTATTATATTTTTCCATTTTTTCATCTCTCTCTTGCTTTCTTCGTAATAATTAATCCGTAATTATAAACACACGACCACTGTTAACGTTAACTGCCATTTGGCATATGATCGTGAATTAGAATAATCAAAATAATTTCAGTGTTGTAGCAATTGCTTAAACGAAATTCCAATTCAAACTGAGTCACTGTATCACCGAGACTTTAAAAACGACGGCTATGACTATACGGCACTACGGGGGCATAAATTAAGACAACAACCCTCACTCTCTCTCTCTCTCTCTTTCTCTTTTTCTCTCTCTCTCTTTCTCTCTTTCTTTCTTTCTCTTGCTCTCTCTCTCTCTCTTTCGTTCTCTCTCTTTTTCTTTATTTCTTTCATCCCACATTTACTCTCAGAAAGCACTCACTCAACAATAGTGGTAGAGTACATATATATATATATATATATGGCCTTCAACGCGAATTCCAATTTGTTTGTCTAGATTCTTGTAAATACATAAATATACAGATATATAAACATATGAATAATATACATAATACATATTTATGCAGGCAAGAGCCCAGGAAAAAGCTGTCACCCTTTTATAAGGATGCTTCTAAACTCAACTTAGCTAAGGGTTGCTAATATTGCAAAACGGAAATACTCAGCGCTTACATGCATGCATTGAGCATGCCCCATTATAATGGTGTTGATGGTATCTTCACCTAATTATTATTACCACATATGACAAATTTCCCTTTGTTTATGTCCTCTCTCGGAAAGGGAAATTACTCAAGCATAGCGTAATGCATGCATTTTATACAATTTTCACTCTATCGTTTTGAATGGCACCGCCTATCGTAACTTTTTATTGGCTAAGGTGATTAGTATTCCCCGTTTTAATTGTCAAGTTTTCTGTTCGTTGTATTTGTGTTTAGTATTTTGCTCCCTTTTAGCCACCATTTTAACTCAGTCAAAAAAACAATGTATAAATGTATGTGTTTTGTCTTATTTGTATGTTTATTTGTATGTCTGTCCGGTTTGTGTCTCATTTTAAAGTGAAACCTGAAAATCTGGTTTTGTTTGTTTGTTAGCTTTACGCTTCATGGGATTTCTTTATGCTATTGGATCTTATTTTGCGTTGTATTTTGTCGTTTGTTGCGTTGTGTGCGTTCTCTATGTTATATATTATGCCGAAGATATATTTTCAATCACATTGTTTAAAATGTATAGTTAGTTGTCTTGTCCCACATATAAACACATATAAATATGTTTAAAGAAAAGAAACGAACACAACGTCATTTGAGTATGTCAAAGCCAGTTGAAGACAAGTAATGGAAGGAAAGGAAAGAAAATGGTGTAAAATAAATTGTTGGTGGACATTTTTCTTTTCCTTTTATTATTATTATTATTATTATTATTATTATTATTATTA